GGNGGGGGCGGGGGGGGGGGGGGCGGTCTATGGTACTGTAAGGTATGGTATGAACAATTTTTTTATAAAGTAGTAGTACAAACCTAAGCTCGAAATGGAGGTATATATCCTACTGACAAAGAACATCGTATCATGGAATGGGCATGGCACCGTCCGCATGGGGAAAGGTGTGAACGATATATTTAACTTTTTTCGCTAGGCAAAGGAAGGTACAGTACACTACAAGTACAGTACTGTACCATTCTGTATATCTGGGGACCCGTCAGGCAACTGTCACGGGGGCACGGGGATGTAGCAGTTTTCAGCCCTCCGAGGTTAAAAGGAAGAAAAAAACAGCTATAATAAGTAATAACGTACATAGCGAAGCTACGGTCTGGGTTTGTCTCTCCTCTCTCTTTCTGCCCTTTCCTCTTCTCATCCCCTACCCCCCCCCCCCCCTTTTGAGTTCCTTGGGCTTGGATTCGAAACTCAGACCACTAAAATCTCCGTGTGCATAAGCTGGACTGTTCTGCCGCGTTTTTTTTCTCGCTAGAGACCCCGTTCAGCGTTTCGTCGGTTGAACTCTGCAGTCTTACATGTGGGGGGCTTGAAGTCCTTCCGTAATGGGGATTATGTCGGCGGTGGAGAGGAAGAGTTTATACAGCGAGCCTCGTTTCCGTGGAGGTTGTCCGGCATGTTGGGCATCTTCTGCAGTCCCAACCGGCTTCTGCTTCCCATAGTAGATAGTCGAGTGACGTTCCCTCCGACAGATCCTAGGCAAGATGAAACAATTATCAAGTGTGAGATGCTCCTACCATCCACCCAGAGGTGTTACATATTTCCTTGAGTGATGGAGAAGCTGGAGGTACAACATCACTTTCTTCCTGTCCCACTTCGGTTTTCCCATGCCACCGATGAAAAATTGCTAGTTTAGCCGAGTAATATTTTTTTTTTTTGATTTTTTTACCCGTGAGGAACGGTCGGATGCTTCCATGAGGTTAGGAACAGAGGAGAAAGAGGAAAGATGTGAGCATCATAGCTCAAACAAGCTTCCATCCTCCTGGTAGAGAAGATATAAAAAGGAACAAATACAACCTTCTCTTTTACTCTACTTTCTTTTTGTCCACGAACTCCGGGTCTCGGGGAATCGCGGTAGATCCAGCGCGGTGCTTACACCACGCTCGAAGGAATCTCGTGAAGGGCAAAAAAGAAAGGAACACCAGCAGGGCCGCAAGACGGTTCACAAAGGTTCGCATAAATGATGGAGGTGATTTATGGTATGGAGGAGCCCGGTGTTTCCAAGTACCGTTCTCTCCTGTTGCTATTTACAGCTACCGTACCGTGAGTGATGCTCATCCCAAGGCTATCGTGACGTGTTCAACGGTTCATAAACCATCACTTATTGCGCAGGAATCACAGGAATTTTTGCTTTTTGCGCCGTGAGGTTTTGCGATCTTGCGCGCTAGAGGAGGCGGGCGAGTAAGCTGGGGTTGGAAGGGGAAACAAAGGGTGATGATGATGGATTATAAAAAGGAAAGAAGGAGAAAAACGAACCCCCTCACCGTCACTGAGTGCCGTATGCAGCGTTCAATGGAGCCGAATCTGAGAAAGAATGTCGGCGTGCGGGGTCGGTGGCTCCAGGGGTTTGGCAAAGGGATATAGCGGTGAATGTGTATATTTAGATACTGGGTGGTCCGTGATGGGCATCGCCTTTCTCATTGAGCTGTTGTAAACGAGGGCGCACAAGGCTTGTGTGATGGGGGAAGGGGCGCAACAGCAAAACAACGAAAAAAGGTGGAACTTCCGTCCTCTGCGCAGGCGTGTGTGCAGCGTGCTCTTGCTTGCCTGCGCCCATCTTGCATACAATTCGGTACATATTCACCGTGATATGATACACCACCTGTCAGGGCGCTGCTCTTCCCTCACAGCACTCTACCTCGCCGTGCTGTACGTGTCTCGTCTCTGAGGGAAGGGGGAAGGACACCAGTACAGTACTCGTACCTGCCTCGAACCCCCATCGGATAGCTACACCACATCAATCCAGTATGGTACCCGTACGTTTCCAGAAAGATGGAGCCTTGGTTCACCCTGCATCGCTCAGCACTAGCCCGGGGAACGCTTGAAATCTCGTGTCCGTCGTTGGTTGACTCGAGCCGGTATTTATTGCACTAGGCACAAAAACAGCGAGAACGAGAGCGACAGGACAAACCGCTTTTTTTCTTCTTCTCCTCCCTCCATTGTTACTCGAGTACCCTTCCCTGCGCCTCATTCTAAATAAACTCACAACCCGAATCGGGAGTGGGCAAGCAACGGTGTTTTGAATGCTTATTGGCCCCTCCCGCCGACTCCATTGGCTCTGTCTCTCTGCCCCGACGGTGAAAAAGGCTCAACCGACGTCAGAACTCGTCTACTGGTCCCACGGGGGATATGTGATGCGCGACACCATCAAACGTCTTTTCGATCGGGAGCACGCCGGCGGCGCCGTGAATTACGGTGTAGTTACGGTTATGGGCAAATGTTGGGCGTCACTGACGCCTCCATTCCTTCGAAATTTCCCGGACTTCGCGTGCTACAGCATTACGGCAGCCCTCTCGGCCGGTTGACCTATTCGCGCCGCTGCATTCAACTGCGGTACCGCATTCTTGGGGAATGCGAGGACAGAGGGGGGCTGTTAATATCTGGAATCGATTTTTTTCTTCTGCTCTCCATGCAGATTTCGAACGAGTTATCTACACTGTCCGTTGAATTTTTGAAACATTGTCGCAATCCCACACCGTTCGGCGCCTCTATTAATAGTATCTCTCTTGGATAGGTGACTTCTACTTCATAGTTACTCACTCGAATGGT